GAGAGAGAGAGAGAGAGAGAGAGAGAAGCACATATTACCATGTTATTATCAATATTATATTTTCAGACTTTTAAATAGAAATTGTAAATTTTATTGTAAAGATTAAGATTTATTTTTAAATTATTAAAATTATTTAATAAGCTTTTGATTAATTGAGTTTTTTAAACCACAAAAAAAAAAAACAAATTGATTAATTATTTTAATGAATTTAATTATTATAACAAAAATTGTTAACAATGTTTCAATTGTGTTAATTATAAAATCAGTGGTTAATAAATAAATAATTAAACGTATAATTATTTACCCGTATATTGAATACCATTATTTGGATGTAAATCCTCAGCAAAACTGAATTCACAATTTATATATTGCTTTTCCAACTAATTATAAACGAAACGATAAAACAACTGATTTTACACTAATTTTCTAATAAATCAAAATTTTAAACACAAAATACAGTAAAATCTTGATTGAAATAAACGAAAATTTTAAAGAAAGTTACGTTCAAAACCTTGAAAACAATACAAGTTATGAATAAATGTCCCAAAAATTTGTATAAAAAGTAATTAAAAGACTATAATATAAGTTTTATACAAGTTTTTGTTGTTATTGAGTTTAAAGCCAAAAATATGATCACTTTATAAATTACAATCACTTTCTTGTGTTTTGCAATTCATTTGCGTTTAAACACTAAAATTAAATTCAAATACAAAACCATAATAATTACCAATTTATGTGTGTTTTATGTATAAAATGTTTATTTAAATCACAATAACTGCTAAAATAGTATAATTAATCCCACGTTTGCACTCATCCTTCATATACTTATATAACACTTTATACAAATTGAAAACTAGTAATGATTTCTTGAATGTAAAACTACTGATCGACACCCATATGACTAACAACCGCTATATTCATTAAATTCCATATAAATCACAAGTAATTTACATTAATTTGTTTTTTATTCAATAACACAAGTTTTAAATGCTATATACTGTACATTCCATTTCATTCAACATCGTTTAAATGCTATTTCTTTGTCTAAAGTTAAATCTATGGGCAACTTTTATTTACAATAGATTTCATGCATATCATTTCATAGTAACTCATATAAAAAAATTTTATACATTAGCGTTAAAATTTTTGTATAAATATTAAAATAACTATTTTTACTTATTTACAATAACTAATTAAAATATTCAATATTGTTTCACCAATTTGTGTTTAACAAAATCCTTTGCTTTAAAGTTTTGTTTAATTATTCAAACTTGTAAAGAGAGTATTATAGACGAGTTAAAATGGTAAAAATATTTTGCATCATATAACTTATATGATATAAGTTTTATAAAAATTATTACTCTAATTATTAGAGACATGTGAGGCTATAGGAGCCGATATACTGTAGGTGTGAATAATTCGATAGGTATTCAGGGATCAGATTATGTCACTTATGCCAACAGAATAACTGGAAGAGGTTTTCAAACCATTAGAAATTAAGTCATTTATTTGATGTGCAATTCAGTGAGATTTATACACTGTTATTGTTTTAATATCTATCAAACTGTTAAACATAAATACAAAGATATTTTGAATCTAATTTCTGATTGATCAGGGTTTAATGATCACTTATTCATTTGCATATTACTTTAATTAAATAATATTCAAATATAAGTGTTATGTAATGTTATGTTATGTAAATTCATAATAAGTTGCAATATAACATTGTTTATAAGTATATTTGATAATTAATTAATAAAAATTTATTGCAAAATGTATCCCAACTATAATTTATTAATTAACATTTTGAAATGACAATGTAAATTTTTAGATGAAATTTTTCTATTTAAATTAAAAATAACAAAATTTGTGTACATTTAGAAAGCAATCATTAACATTAACATAACTGCCTTTCTAATAGACATGTATTATATTAATTATTATATTTTATTTTATATTTTAAACCATTTTTATGGGAGTAATTGTATAGAAAGTATGGATTTTATAAATTATAGAATTTTAAATATTAAATACTTATTTTTCACAGATTTTAAGGTTATATCGGATTTGAAGGGAAAGTATGATTACCGGAAAGAATACTCTCCAGACTTGAGGCAAATATATTTGCAATATTTAAAAGACAATCCGTTTCTGAAAGAGTGTCCAAAACAAGAGGGAAAGGCCTCTGAAATCAGTGCTCACGATATGGAGGAAGCGGTGAAGAGGGCCACCAAATTGATGGACGAATACAAGAAAATCGATAACAATTACATTAACGCCAATCCAAATGTTAAGCAATTCAATCAAACTATATATGAATCCAATTTGAAGACTAAATTCAATGAATTTGTTTCGCAAGAATTGAGTCGAATGTGAGTTCAGATCGTTATTTATAACAACAATTAAATGTATTAAATGTTTATAAAATTAACCTTAAGTTACATACTTTGGCAGCAAATGTCTGAACAAATTCGAGACCACAATAGGACTGTTGAGTATTAAAGCGCCGGATATTGTGACACAAAACGGAGATTTTTGCGAAATGAGCCAAAATGTGAGCCTAAAAGTGAAATGCGATCCGAGTTTTAAATACCGGCGAATCGACGGAAAGTGCAATCACTTGCGACAAACCAATTGGGGCGCAGCCTTCCGGTGCCAGAGACGGCTACTTCCGGCCAACTTTGCCGACGGAGTCAACAAAATACCTGTCGCTTCCGATGGCAGTCCTCTGCCTAACGAGCGGTTCATTAGTAATAAAATATTGGAGAAAAAAAATTGGTGCGCCCCTGATCAAACATTGTCGTCCATGCAAATGATTTGGGGCCAATTGATGGCTCACGACGTCATCAAAACCATACAATATATGGGATTTGGGTTAAGGTGTTGCCCGACAACCGGTGCCCCACATCCGGAATGTGTATTAATCAATGATATACCTCAGGATCGGCTGACTATGGCTTTCAGTAACCAGACGTGTATGAGTTTTGCCCGATCTATAGCTTGCAATGCGTGTCAATTAGGTATGAATGTTATATACAATGTAATTGTCATAATTATCCATTTAATTGCTCACACAATACATACCTATAATATTGTTAATAAATGATAGGACCCCGTAATGAGGAGTCGTTACCATCGGCATTTCTAGATCTCTCACCAGTCTATGGATATCATGAATATAATGCGAAGTCATTGCGAACATTAAAATATGGTAAAAATTACTGTACAATAAACGTAAAGTATACACAAATATACTGTTTTACACAATATTTGTAGGAAAGTTAAAAACTGGCAAATCATTGACCGGCACTACAATACTGCCCGAAGCGGTACTTCCCGAAGATGAGGATCACTTTGATTTGACCGCTTGTGCCGTAACGCACGACAGGCCGTGGCTTAAGTGCCTTAAGAATGGAGACGGCATCCGCGGTAATCAACAGTCGCTTATCAGCGCTTTGGTCACAGCGTGTGTCATAAGACATAATCAACACTGCGATGGATTAGCGGCCGCTAATCCCCACTGGGATGACGATAAGCTTTATCACGAGGCCAGGTATACAATGAGCATTGATTAATAACTTACTATTGACTATCAATGATTGTAGTGAATTTGTTATTTACAAACCAAGTTTAAATTGGTATTTTGGTTGTTCATGTATTTTGTGTTAATCAATATTAACCGTTTAATTAACGTTTTAATTAATAGACGTCTAAACGAAGCGGAATATAATTACATAAATTTTGGGGAATATTTGCCAACACTTTTGAACACAGAAATGATGTCTTACTTCTCACTGAACAACAGAGCCGATGGTCTGTACAGTGAATATAACGCAGACTTGAATCCGGACGTAATGCAAGAGTTCGGAGCCGCGGCTTTCAGACACAGTCACGCAAACATTAACAGTCAGTTTCCTATACTCGAGACGAGTTGTCTAAACATATCGCAAATGAAATTGAGATACAGTTTCAATAAAGTGACCGAAATATGGGACGGAAAGGTATATCGCGTACAGTATTTCAATCGTTGATAACTAATGCCATTTTTCCCGTTTCATAAACACTATCGCAAAGACCAACTCGTTATTGAAAGGCATGTGTGAAGACAGTATGCGGTCCACTGGCCTGTGCTATGAGCCCGACGTTAAGGATTACTTTGCATTCAATGCCGTAAAACCACGAGTTATTGATCTGTTTGTTATAGACATCGGGAGGGCTAGAGATCACGGCATCGCTCCATATGTTTATTACATACACTATTGCTATGGGAAACACATTAATCAATGGCAGGATTTGTATCCATATATATCGCATGAAAATATCGCCAAATTAAAGGCTATTTACAAGTATTATATCGTCGTTCAGTAAATGACATCATAATTGAAATTACAATCAATTATTTCTTTAGGAGTTTTACAGATATTGAGCTAATGGTCGGCGGTTTGGCTGAAGAGCATATGAAGGGCTCGACTCTCGGCCCGACGTTTGCCTGTTTAGTAAGCATTCAGTTTTATCACTTGAAATTTGGTGACCGATTGTACTTTGAGCACCAAAATCAACCTAGTTCATTCAATCGGGGTATGCATTATAATCACACTAACAATACTATGTGTTTCCATAGTTATTGAATTTGTATTATTTGTTTGATTGCGAACTAAAGCCCAGTTAATGAATATCAAGTCCACCGCATCGATGGCTAACTTCTTGTGCAAAACCACTGATTTCGAGTCAATACAGTTGTACCCATTTCTGGTCCCCTCAGCAGCCAATCCGCGAATAGATTGCAATCAATTCAATGAATTTAATTACAATTTATTTCGTGAATAAAGTTTAAGTACTATATCATAATTGTTACAAAATTATTTCAAAAACATTATTTTTAATGAACTACTCTTTCGACAAATACTTTAATAATTGAGTAATAAATAATTATTACTGATAATCGAAAAAAAAAACTTTTTTTGATTATTAATTAAACAATTAATGATTATATTTAGTGTACAGTTATTAAAACGAAGTTAAAAAAATAATAAAAACAAATTTCTTTCTACAATAATTATATCAAATGTTTGATTGAAATGATTAAAACGAAAAACTAAATTACAAAAAACCTATGATGTGTTGAGCCAAGGCTTGGCCGCAATCACCGCCGGATCTCTTTCTCCATAATCATAGCGCAACTCTTCGTCGACGTTAATCTCGCGCAACGTTTTCAGCACAACGTATGGCCGGCCCTCGTATTCCACGGCTACGGCCTTCACGTTCGGGTGTTTGCGGCTGTGATTCAACAGTCGGCCGAACCGAGCCGTGGGCGCAGTCGCGTCGAGACACCAGCGCTTACTCTTGTGGGTAAAGTAATACATATAACAGCCCTCAGCTCTCAGCGCGTGAAACACTTCCCACACCTGTACGAGACATACAATTACATGAATGGATGAATGCGTTGAATGGCAAACAGTTTCAGTGGTCATACCTTCGCCTGCTGTGCGTCCATGAGTTGGCCGTCGTATTCGCAGATGAAGGTGTGTTTGGGTATCACTTGAGTGGCAAACACTCCAACTCCGATGTCTTCGCTGATGAACTCCGTGCGCAACATCAGCGGCGGATCGGATTGATTGGCCAAATAGTACTCCACGACATTATCGCCGATTGTTAGCACTTGTGTTCCTGATATGCGCTTCCGTTCACTGATCGCTGCCCGCAATTGAGTGGTCAACTCATCGACCGTAAGCACTGGCCGACACTCGGCCGCCGATTGGCTCCGCTTTGGAGTGTATGGTCTGAATGAAGGGCTGCACCACTGGTCGACCATTTGGATGGAAAGACTGTTCACAATTAGATCACAATCCAAACAATCCCTCACAATGATAGACACCGATTGACTCGACACCGATTTGGGCTCCATTTCCNTGGTGAGAGATCTAGAAATGCCGATGGTAACGACTCCTCATTACGGGGTCCTATCATTTATTAACAATATTATAGGTATGTATTGTGTGAGCAATTAAATGGATAATTATGACAATTACATTGTATACAGTATAACATTCATACCTAATTGACACGCATTGCAAGCTATAGATCGGGCAAAACTCATACACGTCTGATTACTGAAAGCCATAGTCAGCCGATCCTGAGGTATATCATTGATTAGCACACATTCCGAATGCGGGGCACCGGTTGTCGGGCAACACCTTAACCCAAATCCCATATATTGTATGGTTTTGATGACGTCGTGAGCCATCAATTGGCCCCAAATCATTTGCATGGACGACAATGTTTGATCAGGGTCGCACCATGGTTGTTTCAATAATTTATTACTAATGAACCGCTCGTTAGGCAAAGGACTGCCGTCGGAAGCGACGGGTATTTTGTTAACTCCGTCGGCAAAGTTGGCCGGAAGTAGCCGTCTCTGGCACCGGAAGGCTGCGCCCCAATTGGTTTGCCGCAAGTGATTGCACTTCCCGTCGATTGCGGCCATAAATTTTGAGCCTAGCGTTTTCACTTTTAGGCTCACATTTTGGCTCATTTCGCAAAAATCTCCGTTTTGTGTCACAATATCCGGCGCTTTAATACTCAACAGTCCTATTGTGGTCTCGAGTTTGTTCAGACATTTGCTGCAAAAGTATGTAAATTAAGGTTAATTTGATAAATATTTAATACTTTTAATTGTTGTTATAAATAACGATCTGAACTCACATTTTACTCAATTCTTGCGAAACAAATTCATTAAATTTAGTCTTCAAATTGGATTCATAAACAGTTTGATTGAATTGCTTAACATTTGGATTGGCGTTAATGTAATTGTCGTCGATTTTCTTGTATTCGACCATCAATTTGGTCGCCCTCTTCACCGCTTCCTCCATATCGTGAGCACTGATTTCAGAGGCCTTTCCCTCTTGTTTTGGACACTCTTTCAGAAACGGATTGTCTTTTAAATATTGCGAATATATTTGTCTCAAGTCTGGAGAGTATTCTTTCCGGTAATCAAACTTTCCCTTCAAATCCGATATAACCTTAAAATCTGTGAAAAATAAGAATTTAATATTAAAAATGCTATAATTGATAAATTCCATACTTTCTATACAATTACTCCCATAAAAATGGTTTAAAATATAAAATAAAATATAATAATTAATATAATACATGTCTATTAGAAAGCCAGTTATGTTAATGTTAATGATTGCTTTCTAAATGTACACAAATTTTGTTATTTTTAATTTAAATAGAAAATTTCATCTAAAAATACACATTGTCATTTAAAAATGTTAATTAATAAATTATCGTTGGGATACATTTTGAAATAAATTTTTACTAATTAATTATTCAAATCTACTTATAAACAATGTTATATGAATTTATTATGAATTTACATAACATTTATTACAATAAATAACCTTATATTTGAATATTATTTAATTTAAGTAATATGTAAATGAATAAGTGATCATGGTAATAATCAAACCCAGATCAATCAAAAATTGGATTCAAAATAATTTTGTATTTATGTTCAACAGTTTGATAAGTTTTAGTTAACTTTAGTTATTGTGAGTTTATAGTTATAATACAGTAATAATATAAAGACAATAAAACACAATAACAGTGTATAAATCTGACTGAATTGCACATCAAATAACTGATTTAATTTCTAATGGTTTGAAAACCTCTTCAGTTATTGTTTTGGCATAAGTGACATAATCTGATCCCTGAATACCTATCGACTTACTGTATTCACACCTGTATCGGCTCCTATAGCCTAACATGCCTCCAATTATTGAAAATTTTTATAAAACTTATATGATGCAAATTATTTTTGCCATCTTAACTCGTAAATGCTTCTCTCTTTACAAGTTTGAATAATTAAACAAGACTTTAAAGCAAAGGATTTTGTTAAACACAAATTAGTAAAACAATATTGAATATTTTAAATAGTTATTGTAAATAAGTGAAAATAGTTATTTTAATACAAAAAGTATAAAGATTTTTAACATGAGTACTAAATAAATTTATAAATGATATGCATTGAATCTATTGTAAATAAAAATTGCCCATAGACTTAACTTTAGACAAAGAAATAGCATTTAAACTATGTGAAATGAAATGGAATGTACAGTATATAGCATTTAAAACTTGTGTTATTGAATAAAAAACAAATTAATGTAAATTACTTGTGATTTATATGGAATTTAATGAATATAGCGGTTGTTAGTCATATGGGTGT